CACAAAATTCCCCAAGGGTTATGCAGTTCAACTGTCTCCTATACAGTCAAAACTAGGGTTTGTGTTCTGATCAAGAATTGAAAGTTTTCAAAGGCCCAATCAAGTCTCATATGCCTACAAATGTGGTCAAACATCCTCATATCAAGTTTCAAGGCATTCAGCTCAAAATTGCACAGTCAAAACCCTAAATTGCACTACAGTCAACTGTAGGGGCAAAATGGTCATTTGACAGTCAAAAGTTCAAATTTTTGGTCAACATATCATTTTGAAGCCACAAACATCATTTGATCAATACTTGATCATGATTCTCAAAATTTGGCTCAGAAATCATCAAAGATGCAAAAGTTACTATATTTGGACAGCTGAAAAAGTCAACTGAAATTGACCAGGGCATAACTTTCACATGGATTATCAGAAAAATTCCATCCAAAGCTCATTTTGAAGAGAAAGACATTTCCTACAACTCATCTTCATACTTCAAGTCCAAAAAATGCTCTCACAAAAAGTTATCAATTTCAACATTATAGGTCATTTCCAAAAGTCAACAAAAAGGGACTTTAAGTCAAAGACCATAACTTGAGATTGGTAAATCAAAATGACATGGGACCAAAGGCATTGGTTAGAGGACTCAAAGACCTTTCCAAAATGTCCAAGAACATGTGAAAAGCTTAAAAATTGAGCAAGTTATGCCTTGTAGAAGTTGGGAAATTTTTGTGAAATGGCAAAAGTCAACTATCCTTGAAACATCAATTTTTGACAAAAGGGCCCACTTTCTTCCACTTGATTCAGCCTTGTCATGCCACACACGTGTCCCATGATTAATTTCAAGACCAAATATTGATTTTTCTATTTTATTTAATTTTTGATAATTTAATTCATTTTAAATCTTTAAAAATTCAAATAAAATTCAAAAGTCAATGAAATAGTGTCATTTGAATTGGGATAGCTTCCATATATCATGTGCCAACTCACAAACTCATGCTAGGGTTAGATTATACACCAAGTCTTGGTCTTGCTTAAAAGAAGGAAAAGTTTGTTAATGCTAAAAGACCTAAGACCAATTCTCTCATGGGCATGGATAAAGGCCAACTAATGACCTAATTTCCTTCCCTCATAAGCACTGAGTCAAACCCTAATCATAACACACTCTCAGCTGCGCAGAAAAGGCTAGTACCAATTTGAAATTTTTGCCATAAAAGTCAAAACTGAAAAGCACTCTAGAGGTGAATTCAAGGCTCCAAACTTGGTTCAATAGCTTCCTTGACAAACTCTGAACGTGTGCCAATCCCTAACATCAACCAAAACGCAAAGAAGTGGTATCTATAACTCAAACTGTAAAGCAAAACTTCTGAAATCGTATATCATGATTCATACATCTTTGTGCATTTTTGTTTATTGATTCTTGTTCATATTGAAGTTTCCAAGCTAACCATTACCTTTAATTGCGTTTTTATTGACCATACGAGATTATGCCATGTTTGAGATTCTAGGGTTACAGGTTTTCAAAATTGGGGTTTTCTACCCTAGGCAAAATTAGGGTTCCAGACACACACCATTGCAATCAGCTCATCAAGACGAAGAAAAAGCATTAGTCGCGATTACTTTATGAGCTGCGTAGGCCTATTCGCTATTTTCTGGTAGCTGGCTTAAAGCAACACAACGAAAACCGTTGCTCAATGTTTTGTCTTTCAGGCACGCGAGGAAGATGATGCCATGTCAAGCGTGGATTGGCACAACGTTGAAGCATATCATGTACCACCATCATCCAGATGCCCACGTGTCCAGGAGATTCCCATCCAAGGCTGAAGATTGGTGTATACCATGAGCGCGAGTCAATGCATCATACATGATCCAGAAAAGTCAACAAGTTCAAAGCTAATTGGGCCAGCATCCTAAGGCCTGCACCTCTAATTTGGGGCTACCCCCCCTGGTTTGTTTTTTTATTCTATTTTATTTTTAATCGTTATTTTCTTTTCTAATTTAATTAATTATTTTTTAACAAAAAACACAAAAACATCATAAAATCAGAAAAAGGATAAAAATATAAAAAATATTTATTTTATTTATTTTCTTGTAAATAATTAACATGTAAATAAATTTAGTAAAATAGGTTTTAACTTTAATTCTTTCTTCCATAAAAAAAAATCCAAAAATATAGCATTAGGTTAATGACTTTTTTATTCCTTTTAACTTTCCTTGTTTTTTGCCATAATATTAGTGATTTGTTTATTTTCATAATTGAACTTGTAAACTAATTAGGGTTGCATTTAGGTTAACTTTTAATACTTTCATAATAAACTTAAAAATAATTAGAACTAGGTTTAACATTTCATTTTGTTTTTCTTAATTAATTCTTTTTTATTAAATCTCAAAAAACACAAAAATACTAAAAAACATCTTCTTTTAATTTTTAATTTTAATTCCTTATTAATAATATTTCGCAAAAGGGTCCAACGCCCTCGTTCGTAATTTATTCGCGCATTTTATTTTATTGCTTAAATAATTATGTATCTCTCCCAAAGCCATGTAACTCGGACAATTTATACTTTTCGCACTTTTATTTAATTTCTTTATTTTCTTGTCAAATCGGGTTCGGTTTAATTTTGGCGATGTGGACCCGCGCCTTTGTAATAGTCTTAGATTTACTTTTCCCGCAACTTTTAACTGTTAACAAAAGCATGAAAGAATGTATGGACTTAAAATAAAATCAAGCGTAGAACACCAATAAACATGACAAGACAAACATCAATGAAAACGACACACAATTCGCACACACCACCCCTAGGGTACGCCTCACTGTTGCCTTGCCTTTCGAAAGGTGATCGTCGAGTAGAGGGCGTCTTAGTAAGTCCTCATGATCCGGGAACCTGGCATGAAGGTAGCTTCTAAGGTGTCTTCCCATTGCTCTGGTGATCACCATGCCCCTACAAACTCGAATTGACCCGAACACCTCCAACGGTGGTGCTACCTACCTCTCAATGGTGGGATGGCACTACTTTAAAGGACATTTACACAGACGAATTCCTTAGGGTAGGTAGACGACTCATGGATACTTGCTCTCTTCAAAACAAACTGAAATCTTTTCACACCAACACTTTTCAAAAGCTTTCAAAGCAAATTTTTCAAACACTCTGACGTACGAGTCGAACTGAAATTTTCCAAAGAAACTTTTTAAAACCCACATTGAAAAGCAAACAAACAATTTTGAAAACACATTGAGCAAGTATCTAAGAGCCCATGGATAACCATGGATAGAAAGGGTGCTAACACCTTCCCTTTCTATAATCTACCTCCCGAACCGAGAGCGATCTCTTTAAGGAATTTTTCTGTGCTTTTGTCCTTTCCATTTGGAGAAAATAAAAGACGGTGGCGACTCTTGCTTCCGCGACATTTCGCGAACCAGCTTTAAAACAGTCAGTTCCAGATCCACCGATCACACCTACCATCAACCACCATATCACCAAACAACCCAACATCCACAATATCAAACACCCCAAGATCCATTTCCTTTCTACCCCCCATACTCAGACGACCAATGCTACCGACCAACCATGGAACCCCACCCACCGCCAACACGACCAAACTTCGAGGGTATGGGTAACCGACTGTACCAGAGCGGATCTTCGAGATATGGAGATCTTACTGATTTTATGGATTCGGATCGCATTGACTTCGCTGGGCCATCGACCTTGCCGCAGTAGGAAACGAGACGGCACCCAGCAAGAGAAAGGCGGGGACGAGGATGCGGAACTGGGGGTCATTACCGGGTTCCTGGGGATCACTGATGTATCTTTTTTTTTCCTAGTATTTTTTTGTATCTATTTTTTTACTGTTCTTTTAATGTAAAACAGTTGAATGTAATTATTTTTTTTTAAATAAAAAATTCATTTTGTTTATCTCTGTCTAATACGCAACGCGCAGGAAAGAAAAAAAAAATTTTTTTTTTTTGACCTAATTTTGTACATAGGCGCCATCTCACTTGGCTTAGGGCTTGCCCTTTGCCCTTAGGCGCTAAGTGAGATGGCGCCTCCCTTAAAAAAAGAGGAGGATGCGCCAAATGAGATGGCTCCTCCTTTGTGGAGTCATCTCAAACATGGTTATTTGCGTAATTTTTTCCAAAACCCGATTATTTGCGAAATATTTTTTTAATACATGGTTATTAATAAAAAAAATTCCCCCTCTCCACTGCATCAGAAGTCTCGAACACCCGCAACAAACTGTGAATCTACTCTTTCTGATTAACTCTAGTTCCAATACAGAACACTAAGCATGAAGAATATATGGAAAAAATAAATATTGCATATCGATTCAGAAGACCAGCCATTTATACTCACCAAGTTCAATAGTGACAAGTGAGAGAGTGTATTAAATCTCATGTAGATTTTGAAACAAGAGAGTATTACAAACTACCTTCTTATTTTCTCTCTTTATTTCATCACACCATTGTAACATAGATGTTTATTATAGAGACATTTATTTATATAGAACCAAACTAGTACACCTTGTTCGGCACAAAAACTTACATATTTCACTCATTCTTTCTAAATCACAACATAACTACTGTAAATATTCAAGTCTAAAAACTCAGCCATTATTGAACAGAAAAAAAAAAAAAGGCTTGGACTGTATTCCACCTATATTCTCTGGGAAGCTATAGCCTTAGCCGTTTTTGCTTTTTATCTAGCTCTTTCGCCTTTTCCATTCCACTTATGTGATACTTTCTATCCACATACAAAACTCTTTGTTCTTCTTTTTTCACTTCTAACTATTATTTTCACTTTAGCAACAATCTCTATTTCATTCTTCAATTGAGACCACCTCATATTTTGTGCTACTTAGAGGTGTAACACAAACCCACATTAGCAGTCGCAACACCAGAATAACCTCTATAGATCGGCAGATTAACCTAATTCGTGTCGAGCAACGAACAGATAAATTTAAGGTTAACAACTTTAGGATTTAGCCATGTGAGTGCAATAATATAAGCTGTGTCATTTGGTTCACTTGTGGTATGCGCCATGCGACACAAAGAACTTATAATCCGGGTGATTCACTTGAACCAGCCTTAACCAGTTATCTGCAGCCTGCAAGAGCGAATTCGCTAACTGATTATCACTAACTCCATTTTTCATCCAAATAGATCCCTTTAACTTATAAGACGCCATTGCAAAAGTTGGTAACGATATATTTGCTATACCATCTATATCATTCGGATAAAGCAATATTGGAGCATGAATACCCCCATTTCCTGAAAAATCGAATCAAAACAAAGTATTAAGATATACTAATGGTAAAAGGTCCCAAAAATGTTTACAATGCATGACTTCATCTAATAATTATGACGTGAAATAAGTGCTGAATGGTAAGCAAAACCTTCAATGCCACTACAGTTCAAGCATAGGGTTAAAGTTCCATGAATACCTGTCAATGGTGTATGGAGTGTATGATAAGTAAGAAAACAAGCATCTAAATCTTTCAATGTTTGACCCGCTGGTATTCGATATATAGGATACCTAAGCAATGGCATTGCAGAATGTTAGGGAGCACAATAGAAATTCATGTCCAAATAGCTACACAATGGTGATTTGTATCGATTGAGTTCAATTTATTATTCTCACCATGCGACAGACAACCAACTGGCTGGCAATAAATCACAACTTCTCATCGACTTGAGGCTAGGATAGTGGAACGCAAGATCTAGTATCTGTCAAAACATTATCAAATATATGATGAGATGAACTGTTCAAAATAAAAGCAAATAAGCCATGCATTAAGTAAAATCGACACTCGCCTTATCAGCCAATGGCTCGCGGCCATAAGGAGGTTCTTTATCAAAATACTCGAAAAGAAGATCTTGAGGATTTCCAGTTTCACTGTCATCACTAGAAAATCCCTCTTGTACAGATAGCCTGCTCATTTGTAATGAAGTGTCGCCTTTTTTATATTGATTTCTTCTTTGAGCTATACAATGTTTAGTCCTTTTTCCAAACTCACTATCACTGCTTCCGTCGCTACTTGAATCTCTGTAGTAATCACTGTCACTATCTTCACCAATGCATCTAATGATAAAAGAAAACGAAATATGGTTAAATCTTTGTGCCAGACAAAATCTAAGAAACTATATGCATAAAGAGAGATAGCAGCAGTGACCATAAAACTGTTTCTGTGATTGCATATGAAATAGAAAATACCTTGGCTTAGCAATTGACTTGTTAGCTGATTGACCATATAGTTGAATAGCTGACAAATAAGGAACATAATATTGTACAACAGATTCTCTTTGATCAAGTAACAAAGGAACACCTGCTCCATAAGCACTCCATTCCTTGAAAGATTCCCAGAGATCATTCAACGCGAAGTATGATTGATACTCTACATCACAAGTCTTCCAACCTCTCATTGTTGTCTACATCAAAAACATAACAACAAAAAAATGCCCCAAGTAAGACTTAGGTCTTAATCGAATAAACAACTTAATTAAGTGCTTATGTATAAGCAGACCATCTTTGAGGTTGTGCAAGGGCGGCCTAAATCACATGGCAAAAAGGCCTCCATACACATATTCCACGGTTAATTCACTTTCACTGTTAAACAGAACCTCCTATAAAAAATTCATGACTCAATTGAAGCTAACTTCAGCTTCTTACACAGGGCCTCTCAAAAGTTTGAGACGGTTCAGTGTATAGGTTGTTTCTAGAAGCTCTCATTGAGAGTTTATGAAATAAAGCTAATAGTAATAACAAATTATGATTACTTCATAAGCTGTTTCCATAAACTCTCTCAAATAGTCTTACAGTTGTTCCTAAGTTCAAATCCAGAAACTAACATAGCAACTAACTTACTAACATTAACCTATTTCAGCAACAGCTACAAAATGAGAAATAGACCAAAAACAGTAAATAAAGGTTGTTGTACTTGTAAACTCCAATTCCAAACAAAGCACAAATCAAAGAGTCAAAAGATAAAACATAACAAGAATTGAATAAAAGACAGATAAAGATCAACCTTAGAGAAAAACTGAGCTGGAACTAAAGGTGTTGTGGACTCCAAGAATCTATCAATGTTACTTGCAGGCTCAACAGAAGAAGAAGAAGATGGTTTATTATTCAAAGAGTACAAATCTTCATTGAGATTCCTATTCTCAGAATCAACAAGTTCACACTTTGTAGCAGAATCTTCACACTTATCTCTCTGAGTTTTCTTACGCTGATTATGATTCTGATTCTGATTCTTCCTTGCTTTCACCGGAATATAAAACCGATCGTCACCACGAACACCATTAAATTGCAGGGAAGTCCCAAACATTTTTCAAACTTGTTAACAAAAGAAGTGAGAGTTGGAGTGAAGAAAAAGGAGATGAAAGGAAAGATTGTTGTGAAGAGAAGAAGGGGTAGGTGATTGAATTGATGGAGTGAGAGAGAGAGTGAATAAATATGAAAGAAACTATGCGTGAAGTGAAGGATTGTAGAGAGAGAAAGGAAGAGAAGGTTGTTCAAGAGAGAGTGTGTAGTAGGAAGTTTGGAAGAGAGAAGACATGGAAATTTTGCTGTTATCTGTCGGGGGTAGTATCACTTCTTGCTATTTTGTACTTAATGTTGGTGGGTCCTAATTAGTGGTGTTCCCCATGTAGTTTGAAAACTTTTGAAGTTAAAAGTCATCTGAATCAATTAATTTTTTTTTTTCAAGTTTAAGTCGGTTGGTTTTTAAAAAAAAAAACTAAATCAATATAGTTGATTTTGTTTGGTTGACTCGATTTATTATCAATATAGAGAAATATGAGAGAGTGCTTTTAAAAAGGGAATGAGTGAACTAAAAATAGAAGAATTTAAGTGGAGAGAGTTTTGAGATATTTTATTTTTATTCACAAATTGAATTTCTCTAATTTAAGGGAATTAAAATATTGTATTAGAGGAGGAGTTTGAAAGATTTTGTAGGGTTCAGACAAATTGTTCAAATATAATTTATGTTGTTATAGTATTTAAAAAACTAAAATATATTAATGATAAATATTTTTTTTCTGACGAGGAATGAATAGTGATATGTGTTAGAAAGAGATTTATCTTAAGAAACGATTTATCAGTTTTGTCAAAGAGTTGTGTTACGTCGGGGCGTCACTCTTTAGGATGAAATCTCAAAGAAATGTTTGAAGCGACCTTTTTGAGACCAGCCTGTTGATGCACGCTCGTACCTAGGAAGAGAGGAAGGTCATTTTTGGTGAGCTCCTAGTATTCTTTCCCCTTCCATCAGGTTTATTTTCTGTATTTCCCTTAATTTTTAGTAATTATTATACATTGATTCGATGAAGAACGAGGAAATAATATATCAACTGCGATGGAGTATTCGAGTTGCCCCTGTTATTGCTAGTCCTTCAAAAAGCTATAATGTCGATCATTGATCCTCCTTTGGATGGGACGATGAGGGTTTTGCCTCAACCCTCTCAACTGGATTCTAGACGGGTGTCACGTACGTCTGGTCCTTTGGTTTCTATCTTCTTGGCTAGACCGTGACCCTGTAATCCAAAAGAGCACTGGGCATATATTTTGAAAGAGGACTGATCTTATCTTGCAAACCTGACCAGCGAGGCTCTCAAATAGGAGTTGTTGAATTTGATGTATTATACTCGGCGAGCTCCAATCGTTCTGGCCATTGGTGGGGCATATCATTAGGATGCTTTCTTATTTGATTGGATGCGTAAGAAGAAACAACTACTAGAGGAGAGTATCAATAACCTAACACTTATGATAGTTACATACCTGTAAGAAGTACAAAGGGCTTGTGTTTCTCTTGTTGGGATATGTGACGCCTTGAATGTCTTCAACCTCCCTAACCCGTTAGTTGATCAAGTAAAGCTCTTGGCGATGGAATTAGCAAGGAAATATAAAGTTCATGCTTTCGCTCAAGCCACTTTATCTGCTACAAGAGAGATCTTGAAATTTTTGCATTGAGAATGCCTCTATAACCTAGAAATTAAATGAATAATCCATTGTCAGTCTCACAACCATTTTTGAGTCCTTTGAGAATGCTTTTAAGCAAGTAGAACATTTTTACTCTCCACTGTGTAGTTCGAATGAGCAAGTACAGTCATACCAGATGCTTAAAGATGGAAAAGTCATTTCTCTTAGAGATTAGTTGTGTCCTTATACCTTTTTTGAATAATACCTTTCCTAGAGAAGTGTGAGTAAATGAACTTGACGTTGAGATGTTGTTTTTATCTGTTTAAGGCACATGCGATTGATCTTGAGTCAATTGCTCCATAATTTGCATTAAAGTATGAGGTTTTCACTCAAAGTTTGTTGTACGTATCTGGGGCTGTTCCTAGACAAGGGTCGGTACCCCCCACCCCTTATGTGAAAACCTGGTCTGAGGTTGACGTGTGGCAGATCAATTGTGACTAGCTACCAAGAAGGGGTGGGTTGATTATATTTATTTTAGTTATTTTTCCACTTTCTTTGTATATGTACTTTGAATTGTGGGGTTTTGATTTATTTAGTCATACGTTGTGGCATTCATGATAACATCCCTGAATCTTTATGTTATGGCTTTGATCTCTTTGGCCATATCGCATACTCTTCGTTATATTATACGATCACAAAGATATACGATATTTTAGAACTTATGTCTTGTTCATTAATGATGGAAATGTCATAGTACACTCTGCAAGGTAGTTAATTACACAATGATATAACATTAAAAATAAAGTTGCAAACATAACTAGGTAGGCCCGCCACAACTTATTCTTCCTGGCATGCAACTCATCGGGTCAGCCACTCCATGGCCCCACGCTCTCCCTGGTCTTGCTACAGTGGATAGTATATTCTTTTGGACCCTTTAAAATCGACATTGATCGTAACTGGATCATCATGAAAAAAATTGAATTTGAGTTTGAGGTGGACTGGGGAAGCCATAACATCCAGAGCTGCTGCGAAAGGTGAGTCGAGTATGCAGTTGTATACAATCTTGCAAGGGACTACAAGGAATGGTGAGTGCATTATCATAACTTCTTTTCCTTACCCCACATATATCATTAACTCAATGTATCCTTAAGAGTGGATGGTCGTGTCTTTGAATACTTGCAAGTCTGACCCTTCATAGGGCCACAAATTCTCCTTATTGAGGCCCATCTTTTCAAACAACTTTGAATCCATTATGGCATATGAGCTCCTGCCATTGATCATTATTTAGGACACGTCAAATTCATTGACCATGAATGTTATGACTAGAGGGGAGATATCATTCAGGGCTCCCTTAAATTTCTCGTAATCCTGGAACCCAAGTATTAGTCTATTCGAGGACTTGGATGAGGTGCTTCAGTCTTTCTATTGGACGACCCTCAACTAGACAATCTTCCTTTTCATCTTCCATTTTGATGGGATGTTCCCCCATAGGGCACTTGTAACACTATTCTAAACGCCACATAAAATTTACGATCAATTCAATCAAAATCACCACACAAGAGCGCCACACTTCATAAAAACATAAATCAATCCTGCTCCATAACACATGTTGCAACAATAATATTCATAACCAATATACATTCACGATATTTATGCAACTTCAATACTTATTTAAAACATTACAGTGGAATCATCATCAAATAAATAGGCTCAGCTTTCAAACTCATGACATTTAATCTCATAAAAGAGTGGAACTAAAACTAGTTCAACAATCAAAATCCTTGCAAAGGTTTCAACATAATTATGACATAAAAATCCAATGAAGTTTTCATAACCAGATGTTACATATCATAGAAATATACTTCTAAATTAATGGTAAATTACTTAATACTTCAGTGAGTTATCTTCCTTACTTCTGCAAGCTACTCCTAGATATCTGCATATTATCCACGTGGAGGCAGCATTCAAACATAAGGGGTGAGTAATCATAACAAAATATAAAAGGCATACGAGAAAAGTAAACTTCAACAATTATAGTCTACAATTCAACATAATTAATATAACATATGCTCACACCTTAATTCATCATAAATAGCTCATACAACATCTTCATCACAAAATTCCTACATGGTCATACAACAAGCACGAGTATTATCACATCATATTCCATCAACAAAACACAAGCAATGCTACATGGGATGGTAATGCAACAACACTGGCATAATGCATGTGGTAGCATAACATGAACACATATGTTCATTTCACTTTATGATCCCCATCATAGGATCGATTCCCTCTTGGAACCGGAGTACACCAAATCGCTTCCATCATCATAGGTAAAACTTCACTAAATCCCCCAGACGAAGGATTTAGCTACTCACACTCGAACTATCACCATAAGAAACGAGGCCACAACATGATTCCGAACATAAGTTCTACAACATAGATGCATGGACTCTTATCATGCACAACAACATCATCAACATCATATATTTCAACACAATAGTCGCACTCGAACCATCACCATAGGAAATGAGGCATACAATAACATTTAGAACATAAATTTCCACAACAGAGGTACATGAGTCACAACATGCAGTAACATCAAGTTCCATCATTATAATAGGTCATCACGGTACAATATTATCACGACATTAGAATAATCATTAATAAGACATGTAAACAATCAACTATTCAAACACATTAGGCATGTAATTAATATCCAAACAATTCACCTAATTAAACTATGTGATAGTTCTATTTATGAGCTTCACAATGCTTTAAATAGTGCATCAAACATAGTTACGAAACCCAAGTTACGACACTTTTAATCTTTACTGCTAGCCATTTTCCCCGACCTCACCCGGCAAATTGTAGTCCTTCTCCCCATCCTCTCCCGGCGATCAACCATGAATTCTCCAGCTTCCTTCGCCTCAAGCTTGCCCATCGAAACTCCTCGCTCGTGGATCACCTTGAGCTCGTCCAACAAATTTTCACGAACCTACAATCTCTAGGTTCAAATCGCTATTGTGTTGCAGCCCTTTCAAAGTCCAATTTCAGGTATCACACTCATCCAATATGCACAACATTTACCATAATTAAAATTTTAACAATAAAATATCAACATATACATATCAAATAAGATCATACCTTATTAAACATCAATATCAACAATCTTTCATGCTTATTCATCATCAATACAAAGAATCAACAAAACCTACATCTATATTCCCTTCATACCAATCATAATCTACCATAATTACTCACCATTACCTGATTATTTCTAGAAATTGATCTCTTCAAGCTCTAATGAATGAATACCTCTTGCTCTTCTATGCCCTAGCCTTTCCTTTGTATTCTCCAAACTTTTCTCGTATTACTGTAAACTGACCTCACTTTTCCTTATTCCCT